GATCTTGCCATAAATTTAAGGTTCTGAGGGTCAGTAACCTACTCCTTATTTCCATCCTTAAGGACAATGATTTGGTTTCTATTTTATCTAATCTTAATAGACATATGAAAGTATCTCGTGTTTTTATCTCCCTATTGTAACCAATTTACCCCAAATTTTTGGAGCCAGATCAATTCTTCTTGCTTACAAAGTTTATGATATTCCTCCTAAAGTTGTTTTTCAATTTTATGGAGGCTATTTTTGTTATTCTACATTGAGCTTTGTTAATCCTTTCAAGTCTCTTCATGATCTCTCTTCTTTTCTTAAGAATGTTACCAATTTTGTATTTACTCCATGTTTTGGCTCGATTGGACAAATTTTGCAATGCTTTCAACCAATCATAGTTATGCCAAGCATCAGTCACTAACTCAATGATGTCATTTTCAAGAAGCCAATTTGAATTGTAAATGAATCGATTAGACCAAAGGCCATTAGTTGTAGAAGCAAAATTTCCTATTATGACAAGCCTATGATCCAAACAATATCAAAGATTATGTATAATCTTCGCCTTGACAGTACCAGAACACAGGATATACCATCGTTATGATGACCAGGATTAATCAATTTCTTATAATAGGTTATCATAACATAAGGGTTCAAGTTTAAAAGTTTGGAATCCTAAGAAAACCTTTTTTGAAATGATGTTTGAGCTCAAATGATAGTTTAAAACAAGTGAAAAAAAGTAACGGAAGCATAAGAACAAAATTAATACATGCAATGGTCAAAAGAAGACAATTTAGACACTTTTCAAATTGTACCGTTCGCTGTGGCGCATGTGTCATCTAGCATGATGGATGGCACAGAGAAGAAAATCCTCTTGTCGTGCAATACGCCGTGACCTATTGTTGTTGTCATGATAGTTCTACTATCATGGCAGCAACTCTGATCAATTTTTAGAGTGCATCATTTCACCATCCGACATTCAATTTAAGCAATTCAAATGTTCACATGTAGATCTTTAAGCCATCTAACTATTGACACTAATTTTACACCCAAACACTGTACCATTTAAAAGTTGAACAAATGGATACAAAATTATCCTTTTCCCTTTAAAATAAACTTAAGGGTCACTAAACTCATCCACCAAGTACCAATAACTTTAGGAACACTTAAACCAACTCAAATAGGCCACAATGTACCTAATTGGGCAACCATATAACAATAATTACATTCTAGACATAAATTGGACATTGAAAACCCTAATTTCACATAATTCAAGGGGTGACAATAATTCACACTTACACGATCTCTTAACCATCCAAACACATATAACTATCAATAATAATGCCACTTACATTAATATCTTGACTTCTCACAATCATTGTATTACAAATACATCATACTAGGTTGAAATACCCAAAAATCACATATTCCCATGCAAGTAACCCTAAAATAATATACGATCCTAAGTTGGCATAATTTATAAATCATTTGTTACAATACTAAAAGGAGAGAGAAAGCTATACAAACTTAAGTTCCTCCAACCATAGTAGAGTCCTCCTTCCCTTTGCCTCTATTGGAGCCTTCACTTGTAAAATTTAACCATAAGAATGAGTCGAGGACTTAGTAACCAAATAATCTAATAAAAAACTCATATGTAAGAATAGTATTTAAGTATATGAAGTGGCAATAAAACATGTGTTTTGATTATCAAATACATATATATAGACACGGTTGTACAATCATATCAAATATATGATTAACATACCGCTTTGTATCCTTTTTATTTCTTCTAATGGAATTTGAGGCAACAATTCAACAAAACCAATTCCATGTAACTAAACTAGCTCAAGCTCACTAATTATAGGAGGCAACCTTAGCCAAGGATGATTTTGCCCATTCTCAAATCATAGATTCCCCCTCTCAAAACATCAGGGGTGTCGTATACCCAATCTATCTCAAATAGTATTACACTTTCAAACAAGATAAGATTGAATAGTTAGGCCTCCCTAATGCCAGTATATCATATGGATTTCACACAAAATAACCCCCGATATCACTAGAGTAGACTCCTACCCTTTTATAATGATTGTGCTCATATAATTCAACTTAACATAGCCATATATACATGCTGATTATATCAAATTATCCACTATCATAATTCATATAATTTAGCAAGTACCTATACTTATGATTTTGACATAAATCTCTTTCAAAGCCCAAGCAAGTACAAATATATATATATATATATATATATAATCATCCTAGTTCACATAATATTTTTAAAACTCAACTAAAGGCATACAAATATCATACTTGTTCAAAATAATAATACATATATTTTTCACAATCCCAACGACTATCCAAACATATAAATAAAAAGATTAGATCATTTTGTCATCTTAACCCTTCTATTACAAAAAGGGTTATCGTGGCATATAGCTACTCCACAATAGTCCACTAGCTCAATGGAACTCTATCAATATTCAATCTACAAGATTAAACACTAATAATCAATTATAACTATAATTAAATCCCCTTTTAGCCTACTTATGGATACCTACTATACTTAAATTTCCTCTTGAACACTATTAACACTTCTAACACACTCCAATGATTTCATTTAATAATTAAATACTTATATAACATCAATGCTTCACTCACAATACTCCTAATCTCTCAAATTTTCATTTAGGGTTTATCCAAACCTTAGCTAAAAATCTTAAATCACTATAAAATCCTTAAACTTAGATTTAGAGACTTTATTTAACTCCTAAAGGACCCAAAGAACATAATAGGTTTGGTTAGAACCCAAGAGGAGCTAAAAACAACAACATATCATTTTCAAATCTACTAAAATCTCACATAGAAAGAGAAGGGAGTAAAAAGAAACTTATCCAAGGATGTTTCTTGTTGAAAATTTATTTAAAGTGCCCAGAAGATGATGCCCTAACAGAGGCAAAACAATCCCTCTTTGTTGCTTCCTCTTTCCTTTCTTTCTTTCATTTTTTTACACACGCTCGATTTAACAAAATTAGTAATGGCACAGTAAAGTCTAGAGAAATTTAGGTTTTGCACTCAAGCTCGGTTGACCTAAACTTCATCTTAAGCTACTTTTGAAGCTATTCGAAGGTCTAATAATCTCATTAGTAATTCAAAAATATCATTAATTCATTAATCACTCAATTTTTTCTAATTTACCCCTTTTTAACACTTAAAATTTTATAGTTTGAATTCAAGGATGTTACATGATGTATTACTCTAGAATTAGGATGATTTAATTCCTAACTTAGATTACTAAAAACCCAATCAAGTCTAACCTTAGTATTATTGTTTTCTTAAGTAAATTTATCACTAGGGAAAGGCACCTCCAAAATATTAACAGCACATAGACAATTATCAAATTGCACCAAGGATTGTCTTATGGGTTGAGCTCTTTTGATTTTGCCATCATAGCTTCTAAAAGTATTAAAATCTCCTAATAGTAGCCATTAGTCTTCTATATAGTTAAATATACTATAGATAGACTCCTAAAGTTGCTGTCTCTTTACGTAATTGGTTTCATCATACATAAAAGAAGTAAGAAAATTCTCAAGATTACCAAGTTCGTAATTTTATAGTCTAAAATTTGGGCATTAGAAAAAATATATTCAATAGATATCTCTTGCTCATTCCATAGAACCAAAATGCTCCTTGAAGATCTAATAGCTTATACTCGAATCTAATTGTTAAAACTCAATTTACAAACCACACAATCTGCTCATTTCCTATTAATGCGAGTATTAAGAAGACATAAAATATTGGTCATCAAATTTTTCACCTCCTCAGAGGGTTTCAGCAATTTCCAAAAGGTCTCTTTCTCACTATCTAGTAGGTTCTCATCATCCACATAATAATCGCTACTCACTACACCATTAAAGCTAAGTAAAGAGTTTTTTGTAAGATTTATGTGTCTTACCTTTGTCGATCTTCTATTTGTCCACAGTTCCTGTCTTCTTTTTATTTGTAGCTTTAATATCTTCATCTATCTTCTTATTTTTTGCAACTTTATCATCTTGTTCCATTGGTCATTATTCTATAGCAACATTTACAATTTCATCTTTTCGCTCTATGTGCTTATCACAAATGAGTAGAAAAACCTTCCCATCAGAAGGTGGAGGCTCTCTTTGTTCTTTTTCTTATGTTCATTAAGAGATTTGTAATCAATTGGCCAATCAGGAGGCACTTTTAATGAGTTAGGGTTTTCATGAGAAGCTTGAAATGTCTTAATGACATAGTTCCCAAGAGAGAGAAAAGCTAATCCCTAAGAGTCAAGGTGGCATCAGTTTTTCAATAGTGGTCCAACCTTTAAGTTACTTTTAGAACATCACTTGCAACATGATGCCAATCATGCTCCCTGAGTAGTAACTAGTCAGTACACACAACTCATAAGACTTGAAAATTTCATCATTTTGAAGAGGATGATGATATTGGAGAATGCAATTTAGTACTCCTATGATAAAAATTACAAGAAAGTGTACATGCTCATTCTTTAAATATTAAGATCACTTAAGCAGTATGAGGTCAATGAAATCAACTATATTATTTGTAATAATGTAATCTTATATCGGAGCAAAAATCTGCCTCTTAGGCTCTGCAAAATCCAAAGTATGCCATCTTACTCCCTTATCTTGCTCAATACTATTCTGTATCTCAAAAGTACTAAATTATGTGAAGATTTGTGATTCCTACCCTTTTACTAAAAAAGGAATTGTCATTTAACAAGATCATCTGTGAAATAAAATTTGCAATTATAACACTGATCACTTCACCAAATAGGTAACAGCTTTTAGTGTTGGATTTTGAAGACAGGGCCTATTTACTGGTGAAACAAAAAAAAAGTGACCAAAATGAGATCACATAACAATTTGCCTTAATTAAGGAAGACATTATTAAAGGAATAAATAAAAGAATTGTCTTAGCTCTGAAATGAAATCAATAGACTAAATTATTAATAATTTTATCCTTCCTTAACTATAATCATGCTTTCTAATTTCTTTTGTTTGCCTAACATCGTGGTAGTAGAGGTATGATATGTTGAGTTGGTCGGCATGTGGTGGTCTCTTCCATTTTTGCTGTTGATAATCTGCATTCCATGTTGCAAATTCAATTTGCTCTTTCTTGATCGAGCAACAGACAAATAGGGCAATCCTGTAGGGTTTAACAAGGAAACAAATTCATCATCATATTCCTTACAACCATGCCCTCATGAAGACACTCCTCTTATTATTGAAGCATCCTCTATCTCCTCTAATTTGAAGACCTTCGTGAACATCTTCATCTATATCATCAATGCTAGCATCCTAAGTCTCCCTTATTACTTCAAGAGAACTGGCTAGATCATAAGCCTACTCATGCTCTTCACCATTACCATTCTCACCAACTACTACATGATGCTTTTAGTCTACACTCGTCGTGAACTCGATTCCTTTATGGGTTCTTTAACATCAATTCCTTTAGTGATATGTTCGCTATTTATGGGCTTATAGGGAGATTCTCCATCGACGCCATGATCTTCCTTTCTCAAGATGGGTTTTGGGTGAGCTACCTCATTTTTATAACCAATACATCAGTTTATCTTGTTGGCCATGCAGCCTTAACCCCTATTTTGGATTTCACACCAAGGGTTTCTTTCTATAGGGTTGTTTTCCTTTTCAAATGGGGTTGAATTTGATTCTAACTTTAACCCATTTGGCTCCTCTGAGCATTTTTATTGACACAATTGATATTGCTGCCAAGAGTGTGGTAATGGTGGAAGATGTGCTCACCTTTATGAATAATAGACCTACTTTTGAGGCTTTTGAAGACTTCTCCTTACTATTATATGGTCTAGGCGTGGCTATCTATACATTTAAAGGAATAGGAATGGTTTTGCTATTGGAATCAAAGGCTAAAGATAGAGAAATTTGGGAGTGTTTTAGGCTTGGGCATGATAATCATTTCTCTATTGTTTAGAGCGTTTAGAGTTTTAGGTTACTTTGCTTTTGGGAATAAACAAAAGATATTGTCACGATGAATCAAGGAAAAGGTTTAGTAAGCACTTTGGTGCTGTTGGGTTTGTGTATAAACCTATTCATCATGTTTCCATTGATGATGAATCCAGTTCATGAAATGATAGATAGAAGCTTCTGTCAGTCTTAGTTATAATTATTGTGTGAGTGTGTTAAAAGATAAGTCTCCCATTGACTACATGTGAGTAAAGGTCTCAACAATTTTTATAAAAATATTATATTCTTGACAAAATTTTAAAATATTTATTTAAAAGAGTTTTTTTTAGAAAACCCTTCATTTAACTTACTTTAAATTTAAATTCAAATAATAAATTTATTTTTTTGATTACTTTGTCGAAAAGACGTTAGCCACGATTTAACTTCTCATTATTATATTCAAATAGGCCATTTAATTGCAACTTTCCAAATTGCATGCTTTGATGATATTTTATTTTATTCAAATTGTGAAATAATGGTGCCTCTTCAAATAGATTTGCTGGTATTGATTTCTAAATTTCACGAACGGTGACTTTATCCTTTTCGTTTTATTTGTACGTTATTTCTATAATGGTTAATTATAAAGTTTTGTTTTATGGAAACCGATGAAATAATGATGCTATTCATGTAGCATAAATTATGTTTATAACTGGCCGTGTGTGCATGAGACCATAGCTCAGCTTTTAAGTTTTTGGGCAACTGAATTCCCCTCTTGTGTTTTGATTCTTGAATTCAATTTTTTTAAAAAAATTATTTTTATTATTTTTTCATCCTGTCTATTTTTAGAAAAAGGTTTTGTTTAATTATGAGAAGTTTCGAGAACTGTACCAAAATTATTTCCAAAGACAGCATTTTTGAACACAACTCGTAACAAATTTACACAGCTACCACTAACAAGTTCAGGTACTGCCTGTGAATGAGGGGAGAGGGGTCTCTCTCCCTTTTTTTTCCTGCTGTTTCTCTAATCCACTCCCTCCCCGTGGATGAGGCGGTTGGGGGTAAGCTTGGTAGCCCTGACGGTGCCCAGTTTTGCAGATTTTCTGTCTCTGGTAGGAAGCAGCGTTTGTGTCGTCCTAAGCTTCGTGTTTCCCGCCCTGTTTCACTGCCCGGCGTTCAAGGAAGAGCTGGTTTGGGGTTGTATAGTTCTAGACGAAGCAATCGTGGTTCTTGGTTTCGCAGTGGCCATCACCGGAACCTGTTCATTGTTAAGGGAGATTCTTGCCCCCAAGGCCTGCACTTGATTGAGCAGGAAACCATTTACCGGGTCATCAATTGGATCCAGTGATGTTCCAACGTTTATGATTGGGGTTGCAGTCAGCAGAACCTGTGGTCCGGGGATTCGTGTTCGATTCGAAGGGATTCATTGAGGAGAATATTGGACCAGAGAAGCAAATGATCCTTCTCCTTGAAAACAAAACCTCTTGCTTTCATATATCCAAGCCATGATATTTGCAATTTTGTCGTTTTTTCCACCCTCTAATATAGATATTTTTTATTTGAAATTATAATGTCTTTTCTATTCACCCGGAGGCACTGATAGCCAAGCACTGCGAATTTTCTTTATCTCTCACTAAATTTAAAGCTGACCAACAGCAGAAAATGGAAGAGACGATCTGATAGAAAATAGAAAAGGAGTTCAGTTCTTGTAGCCGTGCAAAGCGAGAGTTTGGGGGTTCTTTTGACGCAAAACCACAGTGACAATTTGGATGCAATTGCGTTGCTGCCTTTGGGTGCCGGATTTTGCAAAAAAGAAAAAGCTTGTTGGGGGGGCGGGGGGAAAGGAAAAGCCGAAAAGGCATAAGCTATTAGGAGTGGGCAGGTGGGTGACGCAGGAAAGGGCCGCAACTCTCAATTCTCCACAACAATTTCATTGATAACGCCACATCACCTTAATCAATTTCCCAAATTCGTCCCTCTCACCATGCCTTCCTCAACGGGAGCCCCGAGGACATAACAGTAAAATCTGAAAAAGGATCGCTCCGCGAGCGGACTCCTATCGTGCAAGGGGGGGGGGGGGGAGAGAGAGAGAGCAGAGCAGAGCAAAAAGTGGAGGCTTCAAGAGTCTTGTGTATTGTTTCTGAAGCTTACATGCCACAAATTTTGACACTCTCCTCCTCCTCCTTTATTCCTCCCCATTGCCTAAACAAAGCCTCCCGATTTCATCACCCATTTCTCGAACTCCATTTCCGAGTCAAGATTCATTGACAGCAACCAACTTTGGCCATGAACAAAACAAGACAAGGAGATCATAGCAATTCCCTTATTCCGATTTGATTAGATCACAGGGCTGACGAGAGAAGAAGATCAAACAATGTCCTGTTCCTCGTCGTCAGGGTCCGAGGAGGATGATGAGGGCTTCGAATCCTACAGGAAAGGAGGCTACCATGCCGTTCGGGTTGGCGATCTGTTCGCCGGCGGCAGGTACATAGCGCAGAGGAAGCTCGGCTGGGGTCAGTTCTCGACTGTGTGGCTTGCTTATGATACCCGCACCTCTGTACGTTTGATCCTTCTTCTGTCATGCCTCGTTGATTCATTTTTTCATTCTTTTCCCCCAGAAACAGACTTTTTTACAAGTTTCCCCCACATTTTTGGATGAATTTCGCGTCTGATTTGTATCTTAGATGTAAAGATTTTTTGAAACTCTTCTCTCGAATGCAATAGGTTATAAATCTATGGGAGCAATTCAGTTACCAACGTCTTTGTTATCTCGAATGCAATCGGTTATAAATCTATGGGAGCAATTCAGTTACCAACGTCTTTGTTATTTGTGTGTATTCAGTTCAGTTCATCAATTCAAAATTTTCTGCTTTTGATCACGTGAAGCTTTTCCAATGTCACTGATTTTCCTTTTCTTCCATTGACACCTCCTTGATTCGTATTTTCAGTAGTTTTAATCCTTTTTATTTTGTGGTTCCCTCTCCTCAGTCCTTCCCTTGATTTTTCATTTGATAAGAACGCTTGCTACCTTTTGTATCTATCTAGTATGTAATTCATGTTGGATTGCACATTCAGTGAGAGCTTTATATGGAAACAATTATCTGGTCAAAAAATATATATATGGAAACAATGACGTTCTAATTTCTGATATCATGTTGACGGTATTTTGATATACTTGTACAATCGCCACTTTCACGAATTCACAATCTCCGTCTTATGCTTCCACAAATCACTTTCTGTCATAGGTGAATTGTTGAAAAATAGTTATGCAAATATCGTTATTGACTTTGCCTCCTTTTTTCTTCCTTTGGGTGGACGGACCTGATTTATTTCCAGATCTTTTCTAATTCTGTATCTCTGGTTTTTCAGACATACGTTGCTCTTAAGATCCAGAAGAGTGCAGCTCAGTTTGCTCAGGCTGCCCTTCATGAGATCAGTGTTCTTTCATCTATTGCTGATGGTGACCCTTCAAATTCAAAGTGTGTTGTCCACTTGATTGATCACTTCAAGCACACAGGTCCAAATGGACAGCACCTTTGTATGGTCCTTGAGTTTCTTGGTGATAGTTTGCTTCGTCTGATCAGATATAACCATTACAGAGGCCTTCCATTAAATAAAGTTAGGGAGATTTGCAAATGTATTTTGATTGGTCTGGATTACTTGCACAGAGAACTTGGTATAATCCACTCCGATCTAAAACCTGAAAATATTCTTCTCTTTTCTTCAATTGATGCTTCCAAAGACCCTGTCAGATCTGGACTTTCCCCAATCCTAGAAAGGCCAGAGGGAAACCCAACGACTGGAGTTACTAGTCTTATTGAGAAAAGGTTAAAAAGGAGGGCAAGGAGGGCAGTTGCTAAGATATCTGAAAAGCGTGATTCAATGGGAGGAGGGGGGGAAGCTAGGAAATCTGAAAAAAATGTTGAAGGTATTGATGTGAGATGCAAGATAGTAGATTTTGGAAATGCATGTTGGGCTGATAAGAAAATTGCTGAAGAAATCCAGACAAGACAGTACAGAGCTCCTGAAGTAATATTGCAGGCTGGTTATTCCTTCTCTGTTGACATGTGGTCTTTCGCTTGCGCTGCTTTTGAACTTGCCACGGGTGATATGATGTTTACCCCAAAAAGTGGACAAGACTTTAGTGAAGATGAGGTATGATGATTTTGCTTGCATAATATTATAGTTCATTGAGTCCTGTAATTTTTGCATGGAAAAACTTGTGGTAATTGCTCCAGCAGACTCTAAATATCATAATATCCTTGGTATTTCTGCGACATTAAAACTACATGAAATTTTTTTTTTTTCTTGGGGCCCAAAAACTACATGAGTTGTCTGTTATATACTTAATAATTGGGTTAACTGGAATAGTGGAATCCTCACACTTACGTAAAAGTTATATGTTCATAATAATCATGCAAAGTAAAAGCTATGGATGGATTAAAAATACTTGTGACCTGTTTTTAAGTTAGAGGAGTCTTACAGAAATACTTATGGATGGATTAGAGCTTTTTCTCTTCTCTTCTTTTCTTTTCTTTTGGGAGGGGGGGAGCTAATTGAATTACTTTAATGTCTGCCTTTTTGTTGGCCAAGAGTACTGTCGTTATATTTACAATTTAGATGAATGTGCTTATAATCATCTTTTTTATTGTGAATGAAGTTTGGCTGTGTTACAATCTATCTCATATACCTGGCATTTTATAAGTCTCCTGTTTCCTGGCTCCTTATAATCTATCTCTTGAGGATCTGTTTACAGAAGATAATTAACATGGTGATGGATTGGCAAAGATATCTTTCATTAACATCCTTTTTTTTTAACAAGTACAACTGTGAGACGGATAAACATTCAAGATACAGATTACAACTCTGATGGGTAAAAATTTAAAAATGTGTTATTGGCAACTCCTGTCTAGGCTTTCTGTTTGGTACATGCTATGCTGAGACTTGAACCTAAGACCTCTTGCAAACTAGCTAGGTGCCTATGATGCTGAAAATTAGTTTTCCATTAAGGGAGCATGGTATTTTTTTTTTTTTAACGCATAAAATAATGAAAGAGCTTCCTTGAAGTAGCCGTGGATGAGTATGTAGGTTATTGAATTCTAGTTTCATTTTGTAACTCTGTTTTCGATTATCAAAGTGGAGAGAAAATCTAGATATAGATGTCTGCATTATGAGTCTCATGCTATCATGTTGCTTCCGTGATGCAATTGCATTTCTAGCTAGGGTAGCATTTGACTATTGTTTAGTTCTTTAAGCCAAAAGAAGGAGGGACGTTCATTGATTTTTCATGGAACTGGTACTAGAAACATTAACAGTCATTGTGTGAACTTTGGCAAAAGAACGTTTCAAACCCTTGGGATTGTATATTAGCTTAACAAAAACTATACATTTTGGTTTCAGGATCATCTAGCCATGATGATGGAGCTTCTAGGAAAAATGCCTCGGAGGGTGAGTACATTCTTGTTGTCTTGGTATGGTTCTTCAAAAAGCTATTCTAGCATGTCTATTGCATGGGTTGCAGGTTGCACTCTCCGGAGCTCGATCCAAGGATTACTTTGATAGACATGGGGATCTAAAACGGATTCGGAGGCTAAAATTCTGGTCACTTGATAAATTGTTGATTGAACGATACAAATTTTCAGAGAATGATGCAAGGGAATTCTCAGACTTTCTTCTGCCGCTTCTTGATTTTGCACCGGAGAACCGGCCAACTGCCCAGCAGTGCTTGCAACATCCTTGGTTTAATGGTAAGGATTCAACTCCAAGTGAAAAGAAAAACGAGTCTAGTGTGGAAAAGGTTAATGTTGGGATGAGCAACCTTAAAATCAAGGTGGGAAAGTGAAGGGTGTTCCACAATAACATCACTTTCGAGCCCTATTGTTCCACTTTAATGATTTTTTGTTACGGCTTATATTTGGCTTGCTTATTTGTTTTTGACCGTTTTTTTTTTTCCCTATTGGATTAACTACAAAGATGTAAAGTATTAAAGAATTTTTCGAGCAAAATGACACCGTCCTGAGGATTACTGACACAAGAGTGTGCTTGTTCTCACGCATGGTATAATTCATTTTGACATTATTCCGCACAGCATACGAGGAATTTTCCTGTGAACATAGGTAGTGCAAATGCGTGTTGATTGATGCTGATATGACTGTTGTCTTGAGGTGTGGAAGTTGGGCTTTTTTTTTCTTTTTTTTAAAACTTGTATATTATAAACAGAAAAATAAATTATCTAAATGCTGCCCCCTGACAAATGCTACATCAGAAATCGTTCAAATTGGAAATGGGTTTATATCTGTGAAGAACTTATGGCAAGAACAATTTTATGGTTAGAATTTTTTAAAATAAAAAGTAAAATTATTCACTTAGTGAATCAGTTCAGCTTTTTTTATGACTGACAAGATATAATATTTTCTGTTTTACTTTTTCTCCACCTACTCAACTCTTGCCATTTGATGGCTATTTGTTTATCTAATCACTAATTGATAATAAAAATGTGAGGAAATAAGCCCTTAAAGAATGTTATTTAATCACATTATATTCAATTCTACCTCTTTAAAAATTAAGATTTTTGGTGTATCAATGTATTTTATATTTGTAATATATTTTTTAAAAAAATTATAATTTTAAGTTTAATATTTTTTAAAATATTAAATTAATTACAAAAATATATTATAACAAATTTACGTTTATTTTTATCATTATATATATTAACTAGTTTTTGAATCTTCATACATATAAATTTCAATTTGTTTAACTAACTTCTAAAAAAAAATTCAAACATAAATTATGTTACAATTATAGATTTTTTTTTCTATTTTAGTTGATTCGCAACCTCAATCTTGGGCTTTTTAATTCAAACACGCATTTTAGAAGTTAATTTGGATATATAGTCGAGAAAGAGAATACTCTGGTGCGAGTCTGGTTAGGAACAGAGGCAGCCCCCAAAAGTGATATAACTAAGGGGAACTTAAGTGTGTGTTTAGATTGAAAAATTTAAATTTAAGGTTAGGAATCAGTTGATATTAGGAGAAAAATATGTGACTATAACGTAATTTATATTTATATATATTTTTGGAAAAATATAATTTTTTGTTTTTATATTTTATCAAGTTTTTCTTTTAGTCCCTTGCAGTGTTTTCATTCCTTGTAGAGACTAAAAGCATTGAAAATTTGAAATTATAGGGATATAAGAAACAAATGCTATCAATTTTTTTTTTTAAATTATAGGTATTGAATGTGTTGAAAAAATTCTAAGAATTAAAAACAAAACTTGATGAAACTATAAAAATCAATGATTGTGTTTTCCCTATTTTTTCAAATAGTGGTTAGACAAATTAAAATTTATTTAAATAATTTAATTTAAAAACTAATTAAAATGTATAATAACAAAAATGGATATAAGTTTTCTTGTATATATTTTCTGTAACAAACTTTATATTTTTAGGAAAAACAATAAACTTTAAATTACAACTTTTTTATAATTAAATAACAGCTTTTTTAAAAAGGTAGAATTTAAAAATCTAAAATAAATTGATTGTCACACCAAAATCATGCCTTTCCCTCAAGAGGGAAAGTTGAAAATGTAAAAAAATAGGAGTCACCATCAAAGTTTTTAAGAAAATCTTGAAAAACTGTATAATAAAAAAGGATCATTTGTGAAAAGAGTTTGAGAGTCGGTTGTGTGTGGAGAAGGTGTTAGGCACCCCACTACACTTGTTCATAAGAACAGTTACCTTAAGTTAATTGCGTAATATCTTCATTACCCTTTAATCACATGCAAAAAAAAGATGAAAAAATAAAGGAAATAATTATTTATTTATATGAGAGCACTCGACCTAGGATCAAAGCCTAGAGTCTATGTACCCTATGATAAAGATCAAAGTCTATGGAGTTTGAAATATTATTATTCAGGTTTTCTTTCAATTTTTTATTAATTTATTTTATGAAGAGAATATGATTTTGTGTTACATAATTATATTTATAAGAAATTGTCACAAGGAAGAGCCTTTGGGTAAAAGAAAAATAACCAGTATTAAAACTTGCGGTAATTTAGTATCACTCACAGTCCACTAGTGGACACTTTAAGTGCACACGATGATTTAGTATCACTCATAGCAAACCTTAAAGGAATTTTCTAAGTGAATTTCCTATAAAATAATTTAATCATGAAATTTTCATATAAAATTTGATACTCGCGATGACTTAGTGTCATTCATAATGTCTCATTTGAGATTTTTAAGAATCTACGGTGACTTGACATCACTTATGACGTATCCTAAAAAATTGCCAATAACTTTATTATTATTATAATTATTATTTGCTTGTGATGACTTAATGTCATTCATACTATTTTGTTTGGTTTTTTAAAGGATTTACATTAATTTAGTATCACTTATAGCATAACCTAAAATGTGCTAAAATTTTATTATTTTTAATAATGCACAAGAGAGGAAAATTTAACCAGTATTGGAACTTGCGATGATTTAATATCACTCATAATCCACTGATTGACATTTTAAGTGCACATGGTGATTTAATATCACTCATGGCAAGTTCTAAAATGAAATTCCTATCAAATAATTTAATTATAAACTTTTGGTGTAAAAATTGATAATTGTAATGGCTCAGTGTCATTCATAATATTTTATTTCTATTGATCTATGGTATTTTAATATCACTTGTGGATCATAAAAACATACCAATAAATTTTAGTATTTTTTGAAATTTGACACTTGATATTCGCGGTAATTTAGTATTACTTACTTTATCAATATATCAAATATTTAAGGTGATTTAATATTATTCATGAATTCATTTTTTTCTTTCTTTTTACAAAAAAGTATAAAAAAGTTATAGAAATATTTTTTCATCATAGCCACCGTTAAAAAAAAAAGGAATGATTTGTTAGTTTGAATAAAGAAATATCGCCTACAAACTCATTAGCTAATGTACTAAAGTTGTATATAAGAACATTATGCATGCAATTTCAATGAATGAAATAAAAATAGAGGTGTCAATTCAAAACCCAAGATTCGGTGTCATCATCTCACGCACAAATTAATAGCAATGATTATCCATTCATTGCACACCATTTGCTATGGACACATGACACATATCAACCATATTAATAAACAAAATAGAGAAAAGGATGTGGAATTTGCGAATGCGGGCAAGGCATAATCATTTTGAATTTAATAAGTGGGTCACATCGAGAATTAGCATAAGAGTCATGAGGCATTTATATTGTATTAACATGAGAAGTCATTGTGTTAATCACTAGCACTAGCAACTTTGAACGGCAAACAATTACATGAAGCCTAAAACACAAACCCCATATTGTTATCACGCGTAATGAGGACAAAAGTGGTAACGAACTCACGAATATATCATTCAACACACACCCAAGGTCAGAGGATCATGGAAACAATATAAAAAAGAAATACTTATTTTTCAAAACTTCACCGATATGCTCTGTCTCTTCCTCAAAACTTCCCCCTCTCAATCATCCCCTTTCTTCTTCTTTGTTACCTCTTTTATAGGCACCAACTAGCATTTTTTTCTCTTAATGACAGAATTAGGCATATTAAAGCAACTTTCGTTTTGACTTTTCTTTATTATTTCATATTTCAAAAATTTACATTTAAGACAATTGATTTGATAGAAATGAAAATGAAGGGACTTGAGAGTCAAAAGAAAAGGAAAAAAAATCTTTTAAAGTTATGAAGATATTATTTTATTTTTAATTATTTTTTATAAAACTCTATTTCCCCTTTCTTTAAATTTTATTTACTTATCTTAATTTTATTGGGCTTTTTATTTATTTTTAATTTACATTTAGTAACCTGGATAGAATACAGTGTTCACATTGATAAATCCAAAATAAATTAGACCAAAAAACCAAGCAAAATAAAACTAATGACAAAAGGTCAAGGGACAATTTTATCTCCTGATATAAGATAGAAAATTAATAATTATTATAAAAAAATATTATTGGTAGATCAAATTTTTTAACTTCGAGAGAACCGCATAAACTTTTTGAGGGTAAAAAAAGAGAAAACAACATAAAAACTGAAAAACATAAAAAAAAATCGTAAAAACTGAAAAATCAGTCATATTTATTGATGTAATCTATATTAACATTGTCTGTCTAATTTTTCACAAAGAATGGAGTGCACATTAGGAGAAGACAAGGGTACACTTAAAATTAACACACTCGCGGTGCAACCATCCTAATACTATAAGCTACTTTCATCAGCTTTTTGCCTAAACAAGGTTTCTCTTTTCAATTTTTTTTTTTTAACCAAAAGTCTTTTCATTTATTGTCAAAGGCGTCCAGTTTCATATGATGATTTTTATTTTTAACCTTTATTTTATATTTATTAAAATAAAAATTATAAAAATAATAAATTTGCTATATCATCAATAATACAAATTTAATATGAATTTATAACTTTATCTACATATATTATGGATAGTTTAAATTTGTAATATTAAAGTTGCAACTTTTTTTTTATTTCTTTAAAGTGTTAATTTGAATATTATCTTTATTCTTTAATATTATATTTATTAAGTACAAATAAATAAAAATTATAAAAAAGTTTGTTATTAAATCTAAATGTATTAATTTATAAAATATTATAAAAATATTTTAATATTAAATTGAATCATTCAAATTAAATTTATATTATAGATAAAATATATTTATTAAAATTTTATATTTTTTATAATAAATATAAAAAATAAAATTTTAAAATTTAAACCATCCAAATTTTTTTATCTGGTCATCGCTTTTGACATCCTGTTGGAATGCTAACCAAACTCACGAATCTATTTAAGATTAATTTTATTTTATTATTTTAAGAACTAATATTATATAAAATATATTTTAAAAATTAAAAAATAAGAATGAGTATTTTTTTAAATAATAATTTTAGAACATTTGAAAAATATTTTTACTTTTTTATTTTTTAAAAAATTATTTTATTTTTTAAAATATTTTTTAAAAATATATTATCAAACAATTTTTTTAAATAAAAAATTATTTCTAGGGGAGGTTGCCAAACAGGCATCTGCGCCTCCACTCAGTCGTTTCAGTTTCAGTTGCCACGTTGGAGCTAGCCGCCTTCCTTTTTTTGTTCCCCCAACAGTGCTGAAGCTATGTTTCTTCGCCGGCTAAACGTCGACCTCCCAACGCAAAACCCAGCAATTCTTATTGAAATCGCACACGTGATCGACTCAGAAACCAATGCCAACATTTTCCTTCGCTGCCGCTCTCTTTGTTTCTCTCTTCTTGCGGTTGAAATTGTTGTTTGGGGAACGTGGTGAACGTATCTTTTTATCTTTTTCTTGTGAAGCTTCGACCGGTTGCGTTAGTTCAATTTTTTCCACCATTGCTTAGTTCGATGACGAGCATAAGGCCTTTGTCCGACGATGTTCGTAGTTCTTTGCGTTCTGGCATTTTCTTGTTCGATTTGACGAGGGTTGTGGAAGAACTCGTTTTCAATAGCCTGGATGCTGGCGCAACGAAGGTATTTATTTATCTATCGTATGATTTGTGCAAGTATTACTAGAATACTAGAAAGGGGAAGTTGTTTGGCTTCGAGATTTGTGGTTGCATTGATGCAGTCGGCTGGTTTGTGGTAGTGGATTAGCTTTGACGCAGTGCTCAGTACAGCCAATGAATGCGCCATCATTCTGTTCATACGTTTTTTACGGACCGTGGATCCCGTCATCACACACATCACACAATCATTTTAGTGAGGAATGGGGATGCAATCGCACGGAGCCAGTATCTTGAATGTGGTGGTGATACTGTTTAGTGGCAGTGAGGACTGAGGAGCTGGGATTGATGTGGTGACTAGAAGATGGTTTGGTTACGGTGTTTCTGGAATATTTCTTTGGAAATCTTTTATGGCTGTATATCAAGCATGAAATAGTAATGAAATCATTTTAGGGATTTTTGTTGTAAGATTTAAATAGCTTACGAACTTCAGCCAATGAGGATGAATAGGGGAAGAAAATTCTACCTCTCATCTAGTGTAAAAGTAAAAAACAGATAACTTTTGCATTGCTTGCGGTTCATTACCAATTGGTTATGGTTTTTGTTTGCGTGGTGTTCTGATCTCAAATCACCTCTGCATTCTGAGTATCTGATGTTGATGTTTTGGTCAACTAATTGTCTATATTATCAGAGATGGCTGAATCCTTGAACTGTCTGATATATTTGTTACAGGTCTCAGTCTTTGTTAGTGTCCGGAGCTGTTATATAAAAGTAGCGGATGATGGTAATTATTTTCATTGTTTTAAACGTTATCTGACTTGAAAGTTGAAACCATATGGTTCGTTTGTGTGTTATCCATCGTCTTGTTTCTAAACAGTTGTATTTATAGGAGTTGGTATTACTCGAGATGGATTGACGTTGGTTGGAGAAAGATATGGTATGCCCTTTATCAATTTAACATCTTTTCTCTTTCTTCTTTACCTGGAAGACTTGATCATCGTGCTAGCTGATTTATTTTATTGAGATTCACTACCAATTATGCTATTGTTATAAGATAAGGGCCTCGCTGTATTGTATGCCAGCTTAGATGACCTTACATCTCATGCATTTTCATTAGTTGTTTATTTTTCATGGAGGTAGTTATAGCATTATAGGTTATCAAATTAACTTAATTGCTTTTAGATATATATATATATATATATATATATATTTGTAATTTCATGGATGCAGAGGTCCTTTGAGTCAGCATTTGGAAAAGTTGTTTGATGAGTTTTTTTTTTTTTGTTTAAATTCATTCATTCTAATGATCATTTGACAAATAGTGATGCATAGGAAACCTTGCTTAAATTATGTGAATCTAATTTCCCAAGTCGCCTGTGATAATGAGGTGTATCATGTGCATTGTACAAGCAGCAACATCAAAGTTACTTAGTTTGGCTGACCTGAATGCCACAAGTGGACACTTTGGCTTTCGGGGGGAAGCTTTAGCTTCAATTTCAGAAGTTTCTCTGTTAGAAATTCTGACAAGAACTTTTGGAAGGGCAAATGGATACCGCAAACTATTGAAGGTGTGGATAAGTTCTTACCATTTATTTACCATGGCTATTTTGTCCTGGTGACTTGCATGGTGTATCTGCTGTTGATTGCAAGGTTTGTTGACTCAAGCTTTTCTGTAATTGCTGCAGGGCTGCAAGTGTCTATATTTGGGCATAGATGATGATAGAAAAGAAGTGGGAACAACAGGTGATAATAATTGGTTAACCCAACATTTGCATTTTTTATATTTTTCTGTTTATATGTGGGAACCGCATAAATTCATGGATAGACTTAGTCATTCTTTTCTGAATCTTCCCCCCTTCTCATATGGGCTGTGAATTTGTCTTATTTAGGATCTCATGATGTTATCATATGGTTTCCCTCTCATTTGTCTTTTGAAATTCCTCGGTCATGTAATACAATAATAATAATTTTATTTTATTTGTAGTTAAATCCTAAATCAGTTGTCAGTTGGTTGGTTCATGTTCATCCATATTGCAGTCATAACATGTTTTGACTATTGCCATTGGCAATTATGATCTCAGATCTAGGTTATACACTTTTTGCATGTATCCTTTAGGGTGAAGCCATTGCCTAGGTACTCAAGGAAAAAGGCACTTTTAAGGCATAAGACCTCTAAAACATCTTAAACAAGGGACAGTAAATAGATGCACTTCCAAGTGAAACAAGGTTCCGAAATAGAGAAATGCCTTTAATATCTATGCAAAAAATAAATAAACAAGCATAAATTATAATAATGTTTGAAAGGTGAATTAAGTATTCAAGCATACTAGTGGGCTTTGGTTTTTCTTTGTTTGTATTCAAAAGCTCTGAAAAAATAATCTTGAGCCAGAATGACTGTTTTAACATATTTTTAAACATCTAAGGTTGGGCTTTGTTTCCTATATTATCCCCGACTGTTTTAAGACATCTTTAATTGGGCTTCTAAGTTGCCCCTTCCCTTAGAGCTGGCCATCTACTTTAAGGTGCCTTAGGTGCTTGCCTTAAATGATGCAGAAAGCACTAGAGGCATTGTCAGGCAGATTGCTGGCTTTCATGATCATTTTTATCTCATCTGTTCCTGTTTATTGGCACGTAGAATTTATTTCTAATTAAGACTTTGTATCTTTCAGTTGTTGCTCGTGATTTATTTCACAACCAACCAGTTCGGAGGAAATATATGCAATCCAGGTTCCTTTTTTCTTATCCCATCATTTTTTTAACACGTATATGATAGTCTTACTTAATTGTATATGAAAATATATTTGTTTCCAAAAATTTGTGCCAACTGATTAATTACAATTGGAAGCCCAAAGAAGGTTCTGCAATCAGTCAAGAAATGTATGTTGCGGCTTGCACTTGTGCGTCCAAACGTTTTGTTCAAAGTTGTTGATATTGAAAGGCACGTTGCTCGCAAGTTAATGAGTTATATCTTCCCTTTTTCTTTTCTTTTGTTTTTTGAAGGTTTAACACCATTTTCTATTCTGTTCCCTATAGTGAGGATGAACTTCTTTGCACACATTCTTCTTCTTCTCCACTGTCACTTTTAACCAGTGGCTTTGGGGTGGAGGTCTCAAGCTCTCTTCATGAATTACAAGATCAGGATGATGTCATAAAGCTTTCAGGATACATATCTGGCCCCTGCAATAATTTTACTCTGAAGGTGATTTATATATATGATATATCAATTCAATTATTTATCTAATCATGCCCATGATGTGCGGAAAACACATGCACACATCTAATAACTGACCTCCCTTCCTCTGTCCTCTCCACGGTGTGGTGCTTTGTTTGTTTTGCAGGCCTTGCAGTATATCTGTATCCAAGTGAGTTTTAATTTTGGATAATTTTAACAAGGGTCTAAAGTTGATGTATTGAGCGTGAGAAGAATCAAATGCTTAATATCTCTTCCACCTTTGTCCTTAACATGCCCAGATATCAATTCACAATTCATTAGCAAAGGCCCAATTCATAAGCTTCTGAGTCAACTGGCTGTTAGGTTTGAGCATCAGGACTCACAGAATGCAGGTGACAAGTTCCAGAACAAGAAGAGAAGTAGATCTCAAGCATATCCAGCTTATATCTTGAATTTGCTTTGCCCACGGTCTCTGTATGATTTAACCTTTGAGCCGTCAAAGACTTCCGTTCAATTTAGGGTAGTCTCTTTGGCTTTTCTTATCTTTGTCATATACTATTTTAGTGATTCTGTACATTGGATGTTCTAAGTCAACTCTAGCAAGAATCATTAGCTATAAGAAGAGAAATAGAGAATTTCTTAGTACTAACTGTATTCCCGAACCATCCTATTTATAGATAAAAAGGGTTGTAGTATATCTAGAACATCTTGCTTTTACCAGGAGTAGTTACCCTACTAGTGCTAGAATATAAAATAAATTGACCCTATTAGCCTATACACTTATACCATGATTTTTGAAAATGTCTTTCCTGAATTATTTTATCGCAAGACTTCAGCAATGCTACTTAGAATTTGACTCCTCCCAGCCATACTTTTGAAGGATTGGACTTCTGTACTGAACTTCATTGAGAAGGCCATAAAAAATTTCTGGGGGAAGAACATAACCCATGGTAATACTCCAACTTATTGATATGTGATATGATGAATTAGAAGTGGCTATACTTGCGTTAATCTTTGATATGCTTGTAGGAGGGTATTCTAATGCCACTCATGTGGTTCAAGCAGGTCAACCGTCCAATGAAATTGACAATGTTATTTTGGCTGAAGCAGGTGAATTTTTCTACATTGTTGTATTTGTTAATCAAGTGTGATCAATTTCTTCCATTGGCTTTTAACCTCCTTATACTTGAGTTAAAAATACTTCCGCTAGTCCTATTTATAGGTAGAGAAAAGATATTTTTTTGTCCTATTTATAAGTCACAATATTGAATTTTTATCACAAATTTTCCATCTTACCCTCAATTAAATGTTGGAGAGAGAAAATAGGTTGTTAAAGTATGTATATTTAATAGGGGTAATGTTGAAAACTTATTAAATTTTTAGATAGAGTTAATGAGTTTTAAGGTTTTCCTTGATTCTGATGAAACATGTTAAAAGTGACTTATAGGATAAGAGAAATAATTCCTTCTAAGTGGTAAAAAAAAATTATTTCAGGGAATTTTTGCAAACAGTGCTTTATAGGCTGCCTGGGGTGATATTGGTTTAATTTGTCTTTTAGCGATTGAAAACAATTTCCGAATCTCTTTGATGCAGATATAGTGAACCGTGGAAACCAAAAGAGGAAGGAATTCTTTGACATTTTCTTTTCCACTTCAGCTAGGTTAGCTGAAGATCACCATTGCCTATCTGATGGGCAAGTCATTAGTAGATCCTCCCTTGGTTATTTGCCTGGGGATGCTGCAAAGTTCAAAGAGAAACAAAATAAGAGAGGCTTTCTATGTCAGACTGGTTACTCTAACTTTTCAATGGATGGATCATTTATCAAGTGTGGCTTTACTGTGACTAAAAATAATTGCAGTATGTGGAATGATAACTACTGTCTATCTGGAAGAGATGATTTCTTGGATGGTGAGTTTGCTGCTGGAGAAATCTTCACAGGTAATGTATCTTTTGATGCACCACGCTCAACAAAGGGAAACAAATTTCTTGAAGTTGATGATGATATGCTCAATGAATCATCCCAAGGTGCCTTGCATTATGGCTGTAATGAGCTCTGTAATGATGTAGAGATTGACAGGGATTTTCAAAAGCCTTTTCTGAAGAGTTGCTCTGCTCGAGGTAGTATTCTGCATGAGAAGGCCTTGTTTGCAAATGATGAACATGAGTTTCAAATTGATGGCTTTAGCTCCAAGCAAGATTTGGGAATGTGTGGTGGCAGAGTTGAGAACTTAGGTGCCCATCCCTATCCAGAAGTTGTAGAAATATTTAGCACATCCAGAGATTCTGTTTTTCTCTCAAGAGCATCTACTGAAGAAACATGTTTTCCTTCAGATTCATGCTCTTTGGCAACACAAATGGGGTGTCGTAGGTTTGTTGAAGAAACATGTTTTCCTTCAAATTCAAGCCATCTAGAGTTATCGACATTAGATCATTACCCCATCTTCAAGACACCATTACTTGAAACCACTTCATGGGGTGATGATCTTATGACAGGCACTGATCTTGATGTTCTTGGAGGAATACCTAGATGCTACAAATGGGGTGGTTATAAAAAAAATTCAGATGCTAATGAAAAAAGATGCAATTGTAGCTGTGATATCTTATATAGATTCAACTCAGATCAGTGCATGAGAAGTTTTGGAAGCAATAGATCTCATTTTGACGGTGCCTATAACTGTAATAATTTGAATTTTACCAAATGGCCAGATCCTAGGTTAGTCAAATGGCCTAATTGTTATGATATAGATTCCAACAAATTGTCAGATATTTTAACAGATGAGTCAGATTGGTTGTGTCCAGTGCCATGTGGTGAAAGCTACCAAAGACTTAGCAAGAACAGAATGAAAAAGGATTGTGTTAGACATTTAGCTTCAGAAAAGAATCATGAAAGATCTAGAAGAAGCTTTTCAGCCCCTCCATTTCACAAAAGCAAAAGAAGGTTTAATTCTTTAAATCAACATTTAGCAATGATGGCCAAAAGACTTGCAAGCCAAACCTCCAGCTTTGCTTTGAAGAAAAGAGGTTTTTCCCCCCTTCTTTCCTCTCATTTTCTATTGAGCACAATTTTTCTACTGAAAAAAAAAAATTGTACTGACGCTTTTAGAATTGGCAGAAGCTGATGAAGAGTGTCCCCCGGAATCTTTTGGTCCATCTCACCCAAGCCCTGAGGAATATCTGTTGCTTGAAAATAAGTAGGATAATCTCTAATTTCCTTGCTTACACTGCTGTAATGTTGTGAATAAATTCTCACTGACACATGTAGTTTTGCAACGATTATAGTTCCATTGTGAAGCAGAAAACATCTACTCTGGGATATACACAGCAGGTTAATAGCAATAAAGAGTTTGACTGGTTTCAAAGTTTCAATAGTCAAAGCAATGCTCCATTTAAAGGTGAATCCAGTGACAGCGAAATAATTTGGTCTGATAGGGAGTGAATAAAAATTAGGTCAGCACTGAGTGGCTGGCTATTTTTCATCCTGGTTTGATTCATTGATTGAAGTGAGTAGTATGTTTAGATATGACTTCTCAGAGTCAAGTATAAGTTTTAGCAGCATTGTAAGCTTTTGGAGTTCTATTTGTTTTATAGTTATTGCAAACAAAGCTATTTTGCGTCAATTTTGGAATTTTCTCTACCTTGTACTGAGGAAATTTTGAATGTCATCTGAATTCAGTTATGGTTGTAGTTAATTGCTTTTTTTTTTTTTCATGTTTGTTTTACTAAATAGTTGAGTGGTTGAAATCATATTTTTCTAGGGTTAACATGCTGTATATTATTTTACAGAATTGACCTCAAGGAAAGTGGAAGATTCTATGGATTACAGGACAAAATGGAGGAACTACTCGCCTGAAATTCCAGTTATGTTTCCAATTTTTAGAGGCTTATTTCATTTTAGATGAGACAATTATTAGAATGCTAGTTGATTGTGTGATCTGACCAGTGATTGTGACCTTCCACAGACAAGGGATAAAGCACTTGATTTTCATAGTCAAGATGATATACTTGACATATCTTCTGGATTCTTGCATCTTGCTGGTGATTCATTAGTACCTGAAACTATCAGTAAGAACTGCCTTCAGAATGCCAGAGTTCTTCATCAGGTGGATAAGAAATTCATTCCAGTTGTGGCCGGGAGAACCCTTGCTGTTATTGATCAGGTTAGTCTTTTATGGATTTTTGCATTATTTGCTTGTTTGTTTTTGTTCACTCACATAGAGAAAGAACTAATTATGATGATACTGGTTAAATGGAAATATAATTGGCAAGAATTTATCTTAGTAGTCACACAGTTATTTCTATTTGAGTTTGGTTTTCCTCACATGCATGCTCTTGCTATGTATACTTCTACTTAAAAGGCTCTAGTTTAATGCCTAGATAGATGGATGTGCTTCTTTATACGATAATGAATTCCTGGATACATGGACATTTTTTGACAACACCCCCCCGGGTAACATGGATGCTGTCAAGGACTTGGAAAACCTGCCTTCAACAAAGTTCTGTTTGACATTGGTAGTAGCCTTTCATTATTGTTGGATATGGGCTCATGTTCATTATTGGGCTTGGGCTTATTATCTCACTAAACTAGATAAAGCCAAGTGTGTGAGAATCTCCAAAAGATAAGTTAGAAAACTATTCATATCTCCACATACATTGTCTTACAATTTTATAAAACTACATAATTACACTTGTAACTGTAATTTGATAGCACACACACTTGAACTTTTAATTACTTGACAACTCAACATTCCTAAGGTAAAAGGCATAAGCTGCAACATTATATTTCTAACAACACATAAGGTAGTTATTCAACGTGAACAACTTCCTTATCAGCTGATCCTCAAGATGCATTTGGGTTCGGATTGTGCTTGCACCTTTTATATACTAGTAATGGGATGCTATCAAATCACCCCCTTTAAAAACAGCCTTTTCCTCAAGGCTAAAATGAGGAAATTGATCATGAATAAGGTCATATTCTTCTTATGTTGCTTCCTCTTGAGGTCGTCCAAGCCAAGAGATGAGTATTTCAAGTGAGCTGGTATTCTTGCCTTTGTCCAGTGATAATCAACCACCTTGTGAGGTTGTAACTTAAGTTCCCAAGTATCTAAAAGTGGAAGAGTAGGAGGTGTTAAAGGTGAAGGAGCACCATAAGCTGGACGCAACATTGAAACATGAAAAATTGGATGTATCTTGCATCAGGTGGAAGCTGTAATTCACAAGCAATAGGGCCCACGTTGGGAGTAATCTGATAAGGTCTAAAGAAGCAAGGTGACAGCTTTTCATACTTCTTCTTTGCCAAACTAAATTAGTGCCTTGGTGTTATGGTTGGATCCTCTAATAAACAAAGTCCCCTACATTGAAACTAAGATCCTGTTTGTGCACATTCGCTTGTGCTTTCATTCTGGATTGAGCTTTGAGGAGATTATTGCAAATAAGTTGCAACATGGCATCCTTTTGTAGAAGTCAAGTTTCTAAATCAGCAACCTTAGTTTCTCCAGATACATAAGGTAGAATTGGTAGAGGAGGATGGCCATGTGCAATCTCAAAAGGGGTGTGGCTTGTAGCAATATGAAAATTGGTATTGAAAGACTACTCAACCCAAGGAAGATACTTTCGCCACAATTTTGGTTGCTCGTGGGCAAAGCAACGTAAGTAGGTTTCTACGCATCTGTTCACAACCTCAATTTGACCATCACTATGAGGGTGATATGCAGTACTCATTTAAAGCCGTATGTGAGTAAGGTGAAAAAGTTCTTACCCGAAATTGCTAAGAAAGATAGGATCCTGACATGAAATTATTGTGTTGGGCACACCATGAAGTCTGACCACTTCCTGATTGAATACATTAGCAACTGATTTGGTGCTAAAAGGATGATAGAGACCAATAAGATGTATGTATTTGCTAAAATGGTCTACCATAACCAATATTGTGTCTACATTACTAGACTTAGGCAATCCAACAATAAAATCCATTGGGATATTGATACATCACTATTCAATGTCAAAACTTTAAAAAGGAGACATGAAAAGAATAGAAAAGTGACAGCAAAAATGGGCCTATTGGTTTAGGAGAAAATCTTATGGGTAAAGACCAACTGACACATCAAAGTAGGGAAGCAAGGCTAGGTAGTGCTGGTAGGAGTGATGAGTAATTTTTTTTGGCTCTTTAAATCTGTAATTTATGCAGAGGGGAGTGGAGAGTATTTTAGAGAATTGTGGTCAAAGTGAGGAGAATTTTGGCCTCTTGGATGCCAGATTGGGGTAGAGAAGATCATCTTTTCTCTATCATTTTATCTTTCCACCTTAATGTGTATTTGTGAGAGGCTTGTGTTTGTGTTGCTATCAAGAGAGTGTATTTCATTATATTTCCCGTACTCTATAATGTCATCTGAGTGTAGTTTCAGTCCTTATTTTGCTTGTAATCCCACTCTATTATTCGGCAATAGTAAGTTTTAGTTACATTTGAAGTGCATTTTCTAGTTTTCCTTGTTTTTTAAGCCTAATAGAGTAGAGGGTCCCATCAAATATCTTCCCAAACACAGTGTGGAGGCTAGAATAAGTTGAAGAAGGCCAGCTGGAGATAGAGTTTGTATTTGACATCTTGAACATGCTATTTGGAGATTTGGCATTCCTGACAATCTTGAACATGCTATTTGACATCTCGCTTCATGTGGGGCTAGAAAAAATGAGTTTGTATCCTCTTTAAAGTGCGAAGATAGCCTTCATGACCTCTAGCAAGGGAAGAGTGAGCATCGGCCAATAACTTGGATTTAAGAGTAAGGTGATTTGGCATGACTAAACATCCATCATGGAACAGCATCTCGTTAACCAATGCATAATGTTGGACAGCAATAGGATCTTGAAGAAGAGCATTCTTAATGCCCTGAACTGATGGTTCTTCATTCATCCATACTTTGAGATCATCAGAATCTTGGATTTGAGAGTAGGGTGATTTGGAATGACTAAACGTCCGTTATAGAATAGCTTCCCGTTAACCAATGCATCATGTTGGACAGCAACAAGACCTTGAAGAAGAGCATTCTTAATGTTCTAAGGTGATGGCTCTTGATTCATCCATACTTCGAGATCATCAGAATCTTTACTGTGATAATGCATCTACACCACTATTTGTACACCCACTCTTATGAATGATGGTGAAATCAAGAGGCAATAACTTCATAATAAGTCACTGTTGTTCTAGAGTAGAGACGCATTAATTCATCAAATATTGAAGATTGCAATAGTCAGTGTAGATGTCAAAATGGCAACCAACAAGGAAGTGATGCCATTTTTGTAAAGCTAACAACAGAGCCAACAACTCTCTATCATAAGCAGATTTGAAACAATTAGAGAATGTGAATCCTTTATTGAAGTAGGCAATTGGATGAGCGTCTTGGATAAGAATTGCTTCAACTCCCAATGAAGAAGCATTACATTCTACTATGAATGGCTTGTTGAAGTCAGGTAAGTAGAGAACAAGGGCATTAATCAAAATGTGTTTGAGCTTTTGAAAATTCTGTTCCACCAAAGAAGACCATTGGAAAGCCCCTTGTTTGGTGAGATTATTGAGAGATTGATCAATTTGGCCATAACAATGCACAAAGCGCTTGTAATATCCGATGTCCCAAAAATCCCTGTAGTTTAGTGACATTACTAGGCCGTGGCCATTCCATAACATCTTGTATTTTTGCAAGATCTATGGCTACTTTTCCAAAAGAGATGACATGTCCCAAGAAATCAATCTATGGTAAACCAAAAGGACATTTCTCCCCATTAGCAAAATAAGTATTATGTTGTAAATTTGTGTGCACTATATGATTAGCCATTGTCGAACTATTAACTAGCATGTCATCAAAGAAAACCAGGATAAAGCATCTCAATTAAGGTCAAAAAGGATCATTCATATCAAATTGAAAAGTGGTTAGAGCATTAGTGACGCTGAATGGCATGACTATAAATTCATGATGTCCAAAATGAGTCTGAAATGCAGTTTTATGAATGTCTTTGGGTTTAACTTTGATTTAGTGGTATCTTGAATGCATATCAATTTTTGACAAAATTGCAGCCCTGTGTAACTCATCAAGGAGTTCATTAATATTGAGAATGAGATATTTTTTAGGAATGGTTATCTTACTTAGTGTGTGTTTGGTTTTCAATTTGTCAAAAATTTATTTGTTGAAAGTTCATTTGGCAAAAGTCAGCTTAGTAAAAGTCAATTGCCATAATGAAATTTGTGTTTGGATATATTTTTTCAAAAGTTAGTTTGATAAATTTAAAGTTGTTTGGATTAATGATGATTTATGCTTTTGAAATGTACTTTTGAATATGTAAAGATCAAAAAGGATATTGATTTATGATAATTGATAATTTTTTTTATACAAATATAATATATTAGAAATGTTTAAAAAATGTGAAAAAAATTTAAAATAACAAAATTTAATGTTAAATAATAAGAATAAAATATATATATATATATAGCTTAATGTTAGAAAAAACTTAAAACATGATAAGGGTATCATGGTCATATATAAAAAGTAAGTACAACTCAACTCCTATTTGCAATTTCAAATCCACCAAAAAGTTGAATTGCCAAATCCGCATTTTAACCACATTTCAAATGACATTCAAAAAGCTATTTTGTTTACATAAAAAATACCCAAACGACATTTCACATTTGAAATGTTAAAAAGTGGACCTAAAATGCTAAATGTTGAAAACCTAAACGCACCCTTAATTCCTAATAATCAATGTAGAATCTCCAAGAATGATTATTTTCTTCACCAATAACACAGGACTGGCAAAAGGGCTTTCACTAAGTTGTATGAAACCTTTGGCTAACAACTCAGCAACTTGGTGTTCTATTTAATTTTTTTAGTGGTGCGGAATTGTGTAATGTCTGATATTTGGTGGTGGTGCAGCGTGTGGTTGCAAATTTATGGAGTGGGATCTACTTCTGAGGGAAGGAAGGGACTTTGGTATATCAAAAATAGAAACATACTGATCAAATAATTCCTGTAGTAAGCATTGAAAAGTCTCTTGCTCTGTAAGAGATTGTTGTAGCATTGAACGCAGGCATGCTACATTTTGAGTTTGTGAACAAACACCCTGCAATTTTTACTTTTTGCCATTCACTCCAAAAACCATAAACATTCACTGCAAT